CAGGACTAAAAAGAGTCAATTATAAAGAATTCCTTCACAGGCATAAAATATGCCACCTGGCTCAAAAACAATAACTGTGGGAGGAAACTTGAGCCCTAGTGGACGATAATTTAAATATGAGCCAGCAGTGTGTGGCAGCAGCCAAAATGGTTAACACAGTCCTTGGTTGTATAAGCAGAGGCATAGAATCAAATTCATGTGAAGTATTAGTACTGCTTTATAAAGCCTTAGCAAGGCCATATCTAGAATACTGCATCCAGTTTTGGTCACCACATTACAAAAAGTTGTTGAGACTTTGGAAAAAATGCAAAGAAGAGCAACTAAAATTATTAAAGGCCTGGAGACTAAAACATATGAAGAACGGTTGCAGGATTTGGGATTAGCTCGCCTAGAGAAAAGAAGGATTAGAGGTGACATGATAGGATAGCAGTATCCCAGTATTTGAGAGGCTACCACAAAGAAGAGATGGGCATCTTATTTACCAAAGCAACTGTGGGCAGGACAAGAAACAAGATGGATGGAAACTAACCAAGGAGAAAAGCAACGTGGAATTAAAGGAGACACTTCCTAACAGTGAGGACAATTAACCAGTGGAAGAGTTTGCCTTCCATAGTTGTAGGTGATTCATCACTGAAGGTTTTTTAGAAGAGACTGGACAGCCACCTGTCTGAAATGGGGTAGGATCTCCTGCTTGAGCAATGAGTTGGATTAGAAGATCTCCAAGGCGCCTTCCAGCTCTACTCTGATTGACTGATTTAACATATCTCTCTATGGCTTTTCCTCATTGCTTCTGTTCTGGCCACAACTGGCTATGCGGTTTGATCTGACTGCAACGACATCATTCAAGAATTTCTGATTTATATCCCTCTGAGCTTGTAGTCAAATCTTGATTGTTAAAAGTCAATCTTAATTTTTAAACAATGAATTGTTTAAACAAGTTTCCCATTTGTTAATTGATTTTGCCCCAATTTACAATCTTTCTTGCCACAGTTGTTAAATAAATCAGTTAAGTTAGTAACATGGTTGTTAAGTGAATCTGGCTTTCCCATTGACTTCGCTTGTCAGGTCACAAAAGATGAACACATGACACTGCAACCGTCATAAATATGAGTCAGTTACCTGATTTTTGATCACATGACCATGGGGATGCTACAATGGTCATATGAAAAACAATCATACATCACTTTTTTTTAGTGCCGTTGGAATGGTCACTGTAGAGCTATCATTAGTCATTTTAACGATTGCCATCTGACTTTTAAAAATTACATGATTGCTACTAATGTATAAATACTTCAGGTTAACATCAAAATAAGTTATTCTTTCTCTAATGGGGGAAAGAGATACGTATATGCTACATGAAGTAATCTGTTACTGATTTGGACTAAATAGAGTCTTAGAATGTTGCATTTCATATCTAAGTTAAGCTTTAAAAAATAAATAAGCTGGATATCAACTAAAATCTATGTTAAAAATAACGTATTTTATTTAGTGTATAAAAGATAGAATTCAGTTTTCTAACCATTTAATGAAATTGGGAAAATGCAACAGTAATATTACAAAGTTTTGTACTGTATAAGCTGAGGTAAAAATTAAGATACAGAAGTTTCCTTATATAATGAAAATCAGTAATGAGATTTTAGTATTAACCAAATGTAAAAGTAAGCTGAATTAGAAAATGGTTATGTTAAACAATTGCTGTTAAAGTACGGAGAATGTGGTATTTTATTCTGTGCACATTTTAAGTCTAAACAAATTCAACATTATTCCAAACTCTGTATATCTATTCTGAAATAAGTCCTCTGAGTTCAATGCATTTACCACCAGTTAAATTTGTAAATGTGTCAGGCAAACATAATTTTATCCCATAGTAGTTCTGCTGAAATCTAATCACTCTTCTATTACTCATAATTGTGCCAAATTCTGTGTGTCAGCATATAAAATGGAAATGTGACTGGGATTGTAAGTGGTAATTAAAAGCCAGTTTGGTATAGTAGTTTAGGCATCAGGCTAGAAACTGGAAGACTGTCAGTTCAGGTTCTACCATAGGGATAAGGCCAGCTGGGTGGCCTTGGGCCAGTCACTTTCTTTCAGCCCTAAAAAGGAAGCAATGGCAAATGACTTCCAAAATCTTGCCAAGAAACCTGCAGGGACTCAGGTAGGCAATGTCTGAGAATTAGGCACAATGGAACAGAGGAAAAAATAGTTAATGGGGTTAGAAACATGTTTCTATCTTAGTACCTGATGTTATTGTATACTTTTTTAAAGTTACCTGATAGCTAATGTTTTAATTTGTATCAATATTATTCCACATTAGGATTAGAGTAATGCCAGGTTATTTAAGTAAGCTAAACAAGTTTTAGTAAATATTGAAGGAACTATAGATATAAAGATAAAATATTACAACTGCTGTTATATGGTTAGCATTATTATTTTATTATATAAAAATATAATACATAGATTTTAAACTCATACAATTACTTATTTGGAGATTTTAGTTTATAATATTTTATGCTCTATATGTTTAATGTTAACACCTAATATTACAAATATAAAATTACTGAAATTTGTTTTGTCTATTTTATATTCTGTGATCAAAAATGAAAGAAATAAACTTGACTGAGTATTAATGGTTACTTTACTATAAGTGACCTGAATCCTGAATACTTTCATATCAAATTAAGGCCAAACATTGATTGTTTTGCTCGTCCAAATTCTTTCTTAGGGACATTAAAGGGAAGTTAAATCTACTGAGTAATTTTCTTTGTGTAATACACTAAATATCACAACCTTCCTCTTACTGACTTTAATAGGACTAAATTAGAATATATTTGCTTCTCCTGCCGATTTACTGAAAACTAAGTCACCTTTTGTTCAGATTAGAGAAGTTCAGGTAAAATCTTAATTTGTCAAAGAATCTCTAATGTTAAAAGTAGGAATTTGCGTTGATTTTAAAATCAAAGTTTCAGTTCATTTTCATCAGAATTGCTTTGAACCACAAGATGGGTGGTAAATAAATTTGAATAAATAAATCATTTAAAATAATATTTTATGAAATAAAAGCTGTATGATATAATTGTTAAAATAAGTTCTAAAGTTAAATGAAGCAGTATTCTTACTTAGTTTGGTAAATCCCAAAGGAAAAAAGTAATTAACAATGTTCCTATTCTATGGAAAATATTACAAATAATTTAACTAGAGTTGGAAAGACACACTATGTTCAATTTAAAAGTTTGAAGGACCACTTAAAATAGTTCTAACTCTGAAATTAATATTGTCATGGTAACTTAGCTTGAAAATTCATTTGTAAATCTTATTTTTAAAATGTAGAATAGAATTTTCCAAAAGGTTCAAGATAAAGCACTTTTGCTGACACACATTTTATGCCTTGATAACTTTGAACTTAAAAGACTATTAATATGATTCCTGGAAGGCTGTTAGAATTTAAAACTGTACCTTGTGGTAAAATGTTGTGGTCCAAAAGAGCACTATTACAAATAATATAATGAAAAGTAGCATTTCAACATTTCAAGGGGGTTATTATTTTTTTTACGAAGATTTCTTTTAATATCTTTAGCCCATTACAAATGTCATCTTTCTTTTTAATTAATTAGTTTTCGAACAAAATGTGTATTTTTAGATATGTGTCCAAACTTGAAATAAATACTAAAAAATACATCAAAATAGTATGGTTTCATTAAAATTCAGTACAGATATAAATATAAGGACAGTAAAAGGATTAATTAGTGTTCTGAAACTTTGTGCTTGAACTCAATACTTTGTTCCCTTCATTTTCAGAGAGTTATAAACATGACCTGACCTCTATTTCATTCTTTGGAACAAGTCAAAGTTCAACTGCGCATATTGATGATAAGCAATTGTCTGGCCTCTAGAGTAGGTCAAGTATTTTGACACTAGTGGGCTGTACGGTACTTTGCTGAATCTACTCGAATTTCAGTTCCCTTTCATTTTTACAAGTTAAGCAAAAATATTATGAAGAAGATATACAGTATAAAGGTCTAGTAATTGTTATCATGGCACTGTATTTCAAGAAAATCTTGCCCTAATCACAATATATGATTGGTTAATCATTCTTGGTATTTTTTTACCAGGAACAACTACCCACAATTCTATTTATTTATATCATTATCAGATTTATTGCAAAACTATCAGGAATATGAATCCATTGCTAGAGCAAAAAGCATAAACAAAGTACTTGGCAACTATATTCTGGTATTCTTCTCCAAGGTCAATCACATAAGAGTATTCTCCATGTATGCAATTATCTTGCTTTAATAAGCCTGATCTCATTTTGGAAGTTCAAATGAAACTGCATGGATTAAGAAGCTGTTGCATTTTGACTTTTATATATATTTCCTATCTTTGGAAAGAAGAACTTCTATACATCAGCTTGTTTCTTCCAAATTTACACTTTAACCCAAAAATTGTCTGATATATAGAAAATGCAAATATTTTATCCATTATTTCTGTAAAGTTGTTTGTACTCTGTCTAAAATTTAGAATATCTAAACCTTTTGTGGAAAATTCTGAAATAAATTTCTCTTTTTTTGTAAAACATAAGCACATTTCTTAGTCTCACTTTAATTACTACCTCAATTTCCATAGCTATTCCCTGCCTAGATCAAACATCAAGTCTCATGAACTGATGGAGTAAATAAAAAGAGCTACCAATTCAGTACATTTTCTTTGTAATTACTTGTACTGTGATGAAATTAAATGAACTTGTTATTCCTTTCCTACTATTTGCAATAGGCCTAAAATTTGTATTGTTTTATTAAAGTAATTTCAGCATTATTACCCAGTTATATACTTTAGAGGAAGTGAAAGGTGTAATCTGTATATTTAGATCAAATTACATTATTTATGAAGATACGCTTGAATTCTCCAAATAACTCATATTTTCTAAATATGAATTAGATAGAAAAGAAAATGCAAAGAGAGGGCTGTCCATTATAAGTAGTAATTAGCACGATTTATCTTACCTGAACTTTTTTCCATTACTTCCTTCTGACACATGTCTTGGACATTCACAGTACAATTCACAATGAACTCTGGTGCCGAACAGTCATTATTTAGCTGAAATTCCTCACACTGATAACACTGTATTTGCAGAGCAAATCCTAAAATAGAAAGTTTCATAGGTAGATAGCATAAGTTTTAACAAATTCTAATGCTACATTGCAATCAACTTGATTTATGGATAAATGCCTAAAGATTGTATGATTTGCCAAGTTTTCCTCCTCCCTTTTTTTAAAAAAAAATCGCTTTTTTAAAAAATGTGTCAATGCCCCTTGACTCTCACATATTAACTGATTCTTGCATTGGGGTCTGGCCTTGGTCTTTTGCAAATGCTGACCACACGCGGAATGTGATTTCTTCACGAGTTATTCTGCTTCTAAGTTTTCATAACCACCTGCATCTGCATCAGCCTAAATTGCATCCAGCAGGGGGCAGAATGAACAATAAGGACCTGTAACAAAATTGATTTGTTTTGCTCACCGATTTTCCTCTCCTCAAGAGTTGTTTTTTTTAAGCGCTATGCTTTTAAAAAGCAAACGAACGGCGCTGGGGGCAGAGTGGACCTGGGAGCAGTTCTTAATTTATACGCTCCAGAGCTTTTCCGTGCGAAAGGGAACTGCCAATTAATTGCAAATGATTTAATTACTATTTTGCTATGCACAATTAACAGCTGCAAAGCATCCTCAGTTCACCTCTTTTATCATGTAAACGAGGTCCTTCTGGAAGTTAAGGCGAGGGCAAGGAGACGCATTCAGGTATTTCACTATTCTTTTGGAGCTCTGCCCCGGCAATGAATCGAGTACCTGTGGTCGCCGGGGAGGACGGGCATCGGCGTTGTTGAACAGAAAGGTGGGAAACAAAACGCAGGAGGGTCGCCTTCTATTAATCCCGTTTTCAAGATGCGCTCAGGGTTGCATTAGGGTAGCTCCCGAAGAGAAAAGAAAAGCTAGCCTCGGGCTCAAAGGGTGACTCGCTATAAATGAAGTTGTCTGATTCCACCACCCATAGCGGTCCGCTCTCACTGAAGAGCCTAACGGGAGAAGATCGGCACTTAACCTTGACTTGAGGTGGGGGAGCCGCTCCGGATCCTCATTCCCCAAATGAGTTTGCCCCACTCAATTGGGGAGGGGGGGGGAGGAGAGGAAAGGCCAGAAAGAGAGAGCCAAAGCCATCCCCAAGCTATATTAAGCTACAATATTCCAAGCACTATGAATAACAAGCTCCCTTCGGCTACTTGGGAAAGGGATTGGGGAGTTCTCCCCCCCCCATTCCGTTAGAGGAAAGGGGGCCAGACGGGCTTCAGCCGCTTCTTCAGCCGCTGCCGGGGGAGGATAACTCGCTAAAAAGCCCGCTCGCCTTTTCTTCCCAGCCCCGAGTGGGAATAGCCGAGAAAGGGGGCCAAGGAAGGTGGCGGCGCTTAGCCCCGGCAGATTTGCCAGCTGCCTGAAGTTGAGCCGTCCGTCTGGCGACGCGGGTCCAGAGACGAGCAAAAAGCTGGGGGGCTGTTTTCCGGAAAGAGGGGAAGGGGACAACGGCCACTGGGGTACCTCGAGCTTTGCCCTCACGCCTTCCCAGCCGGGGCGGCTGTAATGAAGCACCGTCTCCCGCTTAAGAGAAAGAAAGAGAAAAAAAAACAACCCAAAAAGCCTTATTGGCCCTTGCGCTTGTTGCAACAACTGTTAGGATGCGAGGCGCGCGCGTCCACCCGGCTGCCGCCCGTGGCTCAAACCAGGCGGCGAGTCAGGGTGCAGCCAAGCGGCTGAGGAACAACCGCGGTCTTCGTCGTCGTCTCGGGATAGCTCGGAGTGGAACAGGCGAACTTTGCCAGGTATCCCTTGCCTCGGCGGGCTTCCTCCCCTAAGAAGGCGAAGCGCCAGAGGCAGGAAAAGGTGGCGAGAGGGGACCAGCCTATCTCCCTCACGCGCTTACCTGGCGCCAGCAACAATCCCCAGAAAGTTGTCGTCACGGCGAGGAGCCACATCCTCTTGGAGCCGCCGTCGGAGGTGAAGGTGGCGTCGGCGGGCGAGGAAAACGCGCGGTCTCAGCAACAGCCCGAGCCGGGCGAAGGTCGGAGAGCTGCGCACCTCGGCTCGGACGGAGTGGCGCTGCTGCAGCCGCCGCCGCCGCTGCGGAGAGGAGCTCCGAGGGCAGCAAGCGACGCCCGAGCCCGCATCGCCAACCTGGCCGGGCTCTTCCCTTTTCCCGCTTGAGCTCCCTCCAGCGTCGCCGGAGTTAAGAGACTGAAAGTACCACGGAAGACGCCGCGCCAAGAAAAAGGAGCGCGAGGGAACGCGAGAGAGGCGCCCCCGCCTCGCGCAGGCCCCCTCCCTTTTCGTCGGGCCACGTCACCCTTCTCCCCCCACTTTTTTTCTTCTTCTCCCAGCCCTTATTTTCTGAGGCGGGGGAAAGGAAAGAAACTTTGGGGAAGAGGGTGGGAGCCGTCACGCTCCGGCACAGACGACGTTGCGCCTGGAGACGTCTGGTCGGACCAGCGGCGGAGGAGGAACCAGACTGACCTTCCCGTGGATTTTTCCCGCCACCTTGCCCGCGAAGCCTTGCAACCCCTTCGGGTTATGCATACGAGGGAAAGAGGCCAATTTAACAGGCAACCGCGCGGGAAGAGCAGCAGTAAAGTCTCTCTCGCTTTCAGGTGCTATATCATGGACGAACCTTATTGACAGTATGGAAGTGGTGCTTTTTTTCCAGTTTAGACACCCTACTTGGGATCACTCAGAGGTCTCCCATCCAAACACGAGATGGGTCTAACGGTTCTTTAGTTTCTCAGGGACAGCTGACGTTTGTTCGGCGTATTATTTTAGGGGCAGTGATACTCATTTTAAACGCTTGGTTACTCCTTTATCGTCTCTCAAGCCCCGCACACTCACAGACTCGCGCTGGCTCGCTTTTCTGTCACGCTCTTTCGCCCCTTTCTCCATCCGACCTTTTCCTTTCCTGAGTGCGCATGCGCCTCCTAAGCCCCTTTGGCTTGAAAAAATTGCAACAGGCGAGATCGCTCCGAAACGGTTAATTAACATTGCGCTCCACCGGCTGCTTCCGAGTGCTTTGGGCCATTAAGGCGGGCGACGATCAGTTTTTCTCGCCCGTTCTCCCCGCCTTAAAGGATTAAAGGACGTGTGTGGGCTCGCGCATGGACGCGGTTACTTGAGCTCGGCAGGAATAGCGCACAACCCGTGCAAACGCGCCTCGCTTGGGTCTCTTGTACGGTTAAAACGAGCCGATCGTTCCTCCGACTTTTCCGGAACAAGTCTCGGGTTCCGCTCGCCCTTTTGCCCCGCTTACTTTCTAAATCGTGTCACAGCGGAGAGGCCCGGGAAATCAGTGACGGCCCTTCTTTTTAAAAAGCGCTCAGTCACTCAGCTAAAGCAACGAGGAAGCCGCGCTTCTGAGCACGGAGCTGCCAAATGCGCGCCTCTCGCGGGCAAGGGACAGCGCTGAAGGCGACCCGGGTTACGAGAGAGAGGGGGGGGGAGGCGAAAGGGGCCCCCGGTTGCGCCTCCGTGGCCACGCGCCTGAAGGGGGACGGGCTCAATCTTTTTTGGAGAAGGAAATGTGTGTAAGATCGAGAGAAAATCGGGGGGTGGGGTTGATGCATAGGGAAGGTGTAGCAAGGTCCTTTAAAAAAAAAAAAAAAAACCTCAATACCAACCCATGTTATGGTATCTATGAGTAGGTTTACACGCGGAGTAGTTTACACTTCGACTCCGGTGGCTTCGGACACATCGAGATGTTTCGAGAACATCTAGGGGGGGACAAGTGGCGGCACATAACACACTTCAGGACTGGCTCGACGGGAATAAACGAAAGGAACGGGCGAGCGAGACCCCGAGTAAGGTACTCAAAAGCGCGAATAAAGAGCCCGTTGGAAGTCTCCCTGTGTCCATTCGCGCCTTACTTTTCAGCCAGGCGAGGTTCCTTAGGGTACAAATGGTCAGGGCAAAGAGGGAGAAACGCGCGCCTTGCGGGTCTTAGCTTTTCCCATTCCCATAATAGCCTTTTTGGGAGCTGGTAAGTTTGTGCGGCCAGCTTAGCCTCCCTCTGCCGGGCTGAGAAAATGAGCGAGCGAGGCAACGATCTAGCAGCCAAACAACCTTTCACACGGGCTTCCTTAAACCCAGAGGAGCGGGGCTGACTATACAGGCCTCCTTTACTAATTTCACTGGCCGCAAAAGGACGTCCGTTTGGAGAAGAGGCGGTTTCCACCTGGTGCCCATAACTCGGAGCCTCTGGTCTGGTCTGGTTTTGCAGAGGAAAAGGCGAGCATGAAAGAACGAATCCCCAAGGATTTTTTTCCTTCGTTATCTTTAAATGAAGTCAATTAAAAATTTCTGCCCAGTATTTGTCGGGGTCATCATGGGAAGTTATCAAGAGATGTTCATCACCGGAGTCGGGGTGTATACTTTCCATATATAGCATTATTTGTCAGTGAGTTAACCTACAGGATGAGCCAAGCCATGGTTATATGTATTTCATAGCTTTATGTGACTTGTGAACCATTCATCCGAGATGAAACCAATGATCAACAAAAATAATGTGGCATTACAATGTGTTTTCATGGGTCTGAGGTCACCTGCTGTATCAGAGTCCTTTAATTCAGCTCTTGAGATCTATCCAATGGCTACAGCATCTTAGTTGCCAGTGCTGCCCTGACCTGGCTAATTAAATGTACTACGAAGGGCATATTTTGAAACACACAGCCAAATAAGCAGTGGTGTATATTTCACAACGTTCTTCCTAGGGCATAGATATCTATACTTCCACCAGGAATATGCCAATGGTTGCTCAAGGCTGAATTGATTATATAAATCAGGAAAGGAAGGGAAGTGGAATAAAGCTTACACATAGTGGCTTGATGTTAATGAGAAAATGGTTATTTTCTGAAACAAGACTTTAAAACATGGACTAGCTCATAAGAAACTTGTTGCTGATGTAAACTGCAAAATGGGAAAAATGCTAAAGGTTTCATCATGTGGTATAGTAGTCTCACATAATTTTAACACGTGTTCCATTTTTTGCATTGTAGACTTCAAAGTGAGGTTTTATTGTGAAGTCACATTAGATGCTTTCAGAGTAAATTTAGTATTACCACGAAAGGCAACCTAAAAAGTGCCATCTTTCTCTCTTTAGTCAATGTTTTGGGCAAAACACACAAGAAAATGGTAATTTGGAAAATCTATAAATGGAAGATAACACAAATGGGACAGTCCCATAACACAGAGATACTATGCATGGAAGCCAAAATTTATAATGGTTCTAAGTCATTTTTCTGTAAACCCCTTGTGTTTTCCTGGGAGTATGCAGTGGGAAAAAAGAGGGGGGGCGGAGAATGAACAAATGTACCAGAGTTGGGAGTTGTTCACTAAAAGCACCCATGAAATATGCTTAGTAGGGTAAAAATGGATTTCTGTAGGGAGTTTCCAGAAAAGGTCTCAGTACTTGATATTATGGGCACCTAGACACTTTTTGTTAAAAACCTTGTTTTTTTTATCATTGGTTCTTTTATCTTCTTCTTTTTTGACATAACAAAATCCTTAAGGAAGAAAAGATGAAGTTGGTGTAGTTCTGTTTGACTGATGATGGATGATAGGTGCTTGACTTGGCTGACAGCATCCTACAGTCCATTTTGCACAAGAGTGTTACATTTTTAAAATATGCATTATAACTAATATTCCAAAGCTGATGGGCTTTGCCTACCTCGTCTTTTGAGAGATTTTTGTTTTCAACGCTCTCCATTTTTTCCCAAGAGGATGCAGATGCTAAAGCGCTATGAATTTAGCATCAAATGTTCCCATGTTGCAAATTCACCAAACTATCTGCACATTCTTTTGTCCTGGAGCATTTAAATCTGTGTGGTTGGAGAACGGAAATGGCTGGAGAATTATCATCATTACTTTTCATCTGGCTGTTTTTTCCCCCCTATGGAAACATTGCTACATTTTTCTGTTGCTTTCTTACCTGTTATGCAAATAAAAAATATGTTTAGTCTACTTCTAGGCTGTTTTTTTAATGTGTAATTAAATTTAACTCATTCCTTTAGATTAATCTTTGTTGAAATGACTATTTTGCCATATATATTTGAATATCCAGATGTGATTTGACTTTTATTCAGAAATAAATTCCAGAATAAATTTTATAAAAGTCTGAGAGAATGAAGTCCACCCTGACAGTACTGTATATTTGAAAACAACATAAAATGTAACATTGCACAAAGATTTTAATAACACTGATAGTACATCATACTTCGAGGAAAAATGAATAGGAATTTGCTATAAATGAAGTAAAATGACTAAGTATCACAAACATAGCTAGATTACAGGTTGCTGTACAAAAGTTGTTATAAATACTCCACATCTAGAAAAAATAACACTCCACCTTTGAAATAGACATTTCCCTCACATATAAACAGTCTTTGTAGGAAAAAAAACTTCACAAATTTCTTTGCTAGCACCATTTTTTCCTTATTACAAAAATTTAACATGTAAATTACAAATCTAAATGGCCTTTTCTCCATGATTCTGAAATAACATTAAGATAAAATATGAAAACATGTTAAATTAGCATAAGATATAACAATGACAGAAGACTACAGATGGAGTATCTTTTGGAAATGTTTGAACTCAGAATAAACCTTAGTTTAAAACAGCATTTTTATGTTGTATAATGTAATCCAAGTGGTTTTAATGTAATTTGGCAAATTCAATTTTGGCAAACAAAGCAATTCAGCTGCATACAATTTTAAGACTAGAATGCTTATAAAACTTTATTTTATAAAAATGATCCCTAATTTTGTTAATATTAAGACCAGTATTTAAAGTTAGTAATGTGCCATTCAGAAGCATGGCACAAATTAGTGTTTATTGCTATCATGTTTTTCTACAAATATATTTTTCTTTGTCAAAGAATATTTTTACAACTTCTGTACAATATAATTCATGAAAGTGCAAATTAAGACTTTAAAAGTTACAACTGTTACAGGTATTGTGTTTTCTTTCTTTTCACAAGGATGCAGTCTCCTCTCTTCATTGTTTGATCACACCAAGATAGATGCTATGGTGAGTCTTAGCAACTCTCAATATATTTACTGATCTTATTTAGTTCTTCCATTAAGTGCTTTGTCGCTATTGAATATCTTTAAACATTGTATGAGCTTGCACTGCATGAGAAGATATCATACAAAGAAACTGTCAAAGGTTCTGTGTGTTCTCTATCTCAAGAACTATGTAGAGACATTTCTTCATTATTTCCATTTTCTTCTTGTCCTTCAACTTTGTTTTCACTGTTCTCCCCCTACCCAACAAAATATATCGGTTGCTATTAAATTTAATGAGAGTTCAAAGCAAACTTTAGACATCCTTTTTTTTGAGAATCTTGTTTCATTTCCTCAGGTTGCTTCAATTTCTGTAACAATTTAAGAACAGGAGAATAAGAATTAGAAACACAATCTTTACAAAAATAAACAAAATTGTTAACCATACTATAAATGGTCAATTACTGGCTGTCTAACATTCATAGTAAGAAAAGAAATAGCTTGTCAAATACTTTTGGGCTTAATCCTCCATTATAATTAAATGCAATAATAAAGTCAATTTTGGGATAAATCATAGCTTTAACGATTCAGCTCAGACAACCAGGACTCAATTTGCAAAACACCATTTACATTTTAAGAAGCTGATTCTGGAATCTGTACATGTAAAGTATGTTTGAAATTTTCAGAGTAATTTACATTTCCATTCTTTAGCAATTATTTTTTAAGGACATCTTTGCCAAGAAAGCCAAATATTTATCTTTGTGAACTTCATTACATATGAATTTACAGACAACAATTTTGGATAAGACTGATAGGTTAAGCCTTTCTAATATCATTGGAACATTTGAATATAAGACAAAAATATTTTGAATTCAGTGTTCTTAGGGATACCTAGTTTCTTTGGATGGCACCTTTTCAGTTTGCATAGAATCAGATTTTAATTAAAACTCCTTGCAAGATATTGAAATGTTGCTATTGTCTCTTTTACATTATTGGTTTGAAAAACTGACATTCCAAACCATATATGTCCATATATGTTCACAAATATACCACACAGAGGCCAATGCATCTATAGCAAGGGAATTAGATACTGTGTTTTATATAAATTAAACACGTCCCCTATTGAACTGAGTCAGAAATACTGGTCTATCAAATGTTTACACACAGATTGAAATATGTATCAGCTATTTCAGTGGCATGAAAGTGACCTCTATTATTCAATTAACATAAAGAGATGTATTGTCTCTTTTAATAGGCTTTTGTATTGGGAACTTTTATACAGGAAGTCCCCAAGTTGTAAACCTCTGGCTTACAAACAACTCCAAATTATGAACAGGCTACCTGCAGATGGCTGACTTGGCAATGAGTTCTGACCAAAATGGCAAACAGTGCTTTCCCCAGCAAATTGAAGAATCACTGAAGCTGCATCATGAAGTAGTGTGTGCATTTTTAGGATATTGTGCAACCTGTTTCAGTGGTTTCTGAAAGCACTGGGGGCGTGTTCAGTGGTTCTGTGGCTTGTGGAAGGAGAATAGTATCTTCCATGTTCAGTCACATTGAGCTCCCATTTTTCTCTGCTATGTAGCAAGACAAACGTTTGACAAAATAACCTGTTTTTACATACAAATTCACCTTGAGGACAGAATTAGGAATGGAATTAATTCTTAACCTCGGGATTTAACTGTACCTTGAATTGGAGGAAAGAGAAAGTTCTACCCTCTTTCTCTCCCTCTCACACACCACATACAAACATACACATAGCAGATGCTAATAAAACATGGTAGAAAAATAGTATCACCTTTTGCATATAAAACAAATAGATCTTTTTAAACTAAAATTACTTCCTAATAAAAGTAAGAAGAACGGAAATTAAACTGAACTGATCCAATACCCTCAGACCAGAATCAATCAGATATTAGCTACATCTACTTTGTGAAGAGTTGCAAAAGGTACATAAAATAAGCACGAGGCAATGAATCTGCACATTATATTAAAAACACAGCAGGACTGTACAATGCCAATTTCACCTCTTTGCTAGAAGAGTTTTTATCAGTTATTTTAGAAAAAGGTTTAGTAATAATGCAACCCCCCCCCAATTTTCTCATATAGTTTGCTCTTTTTAATCTTACGTTATCATATATGATAAACCTTAATATATTAGGGAATTTAGAGATATACACATTTGCTGTATCCATTGTTAAATGGGATGTGCTATTCATATAATAAAGGCAACTACATTTATTTGTCCTTTCAGTATTAGTGCCAAGAAGAAATGAATAGATCAATAAGCTACTGACAGTCCAAGAACAAACACTGTTACTTTATATTTGGTTCGCGAATGAAATGGCTGATTTAGGATCACCTGAGAATATAGATAATATTATACAGAGTATATCAAAGAAGAAAATATACTGCAATAGAGCAGCAAGCTTAAGAAAAAAGATTCAGTCTTTTGCTTGACTCTACAAACAAAGATATAATGTACTAGCTCGATACACGTGCTTCGTTACGAAACTATGTGGTCGGGCTTAATTTTGGGGGAGGAAAATAAGGGGAAAAATTTGCCTCTGCCTACCAGCATCCATCGGTATTCATCTGGCTGGTGTCCTGTCAGTGTATGAGAGAGTTGAGGGCTGTTTGGAAAGTGAAACAGTGTTTGCTGTGTGAGCAAGAATGAGACAGCAAGGAGCCTGGATGTGGCTTAGCTGGATGTGACTAAAGCTGGTTGCTGCTGTGAAACTAAAACTGAAACTGAAAACTCTCCTCTGCTTGTGTTTTGCATTTGGAACAAATTTCTTTTCAGGTGGGGGAGGGGGAGTAGAACTCCTTAGCATCAGAGCCTGTTAATAATAATATACGAAATACTAATGCTCTGATGGTTATTTTGAAAAATCATTTCTTAGTGAGCATCTAGAAGCCAAGAGGAACATACATGCCAAACTTCAAGTTTGTAGGCTTTATGGTTCTGGAGATTTTGTTATGATGAGTGAGTGGTATTTCGCATGTGTGTGTGTGTGTGTGTGTGTGTGTGTGTATACACACACACACACACACATACATATACACACACACACACATATACATACATACATACATACATACATACATACATACATACATACATTTTCTTAAGCCTTATATTATGGGTGACATTTTCATACAATGTTAAATGAAGTACAGTCAATGTAAAATCAGTAATGCAGTTCTCATAATTGAACCCACATTTTGGCAGATACAGAAATGAGATGTTTACTTGAAATAATTTTGTTAACTATTTCAGGAAATACTTCAAATACCTCATCTAAGTTTGATATTAATATAAATATTTCAGTTTTCGTAAAAAATCCAGATACAGGTTTGGGATTACCTTCACTACAAATCTGGTAACACTTGGAACAGCTTTTGCAATGGTATAAAAAAAGAATAAAGCAACATTCAATATAACAAGCATAATTAATGTGATATATTAAACATTCAGATCAACTTCGTGAGACTTCATCTCACCCTATTACTAATCTCAGCTTTCCAGGAATAGAGTTTGGCTCAGAGGTTCTCATGTTTAAATCATTATTTTACTAATGCACTTTTAGTGTGAATCAGTGCCTCCTCTTGCTGATAAGGGCCACCTTGCAGGATATCAGATACATAGTGTATCCTGGGAATTGATTGCTCAGAAGTAATAGTAATAGTATATGTAGCCTTTAGCCTTTAGGTCGTTGGTTCAGATCAAATCTGGCCTACTGAAGTGACTGAAAATCATTATTATCTGGATCTTGCCTCATGGACTTTGACTAACTTCAGATATTTAGCTTATTTTCCAAATGCTCACTGTAGAGGAAAGGGAAGAACAAAGAATGCAGCAGTGCCCCTATGCTTCAATATTAGTAATTTTATATGCTTTTTTCATCCATTTCCTTAATATGTACACATATTTCTCCAAATGAGAAATGACTAGATGACTATCACCAGAAAGTGATGGACACCAGTGGTAGATGAGGTTATTTCCACTTTTGCCCTCCTGCACCTATGTCCAACTCACCTCCAGAGGTGATGACAAAGTAATAATTAAGATTTGTAATCTGAAGGTGGGCAGCCCACTTTCAAGTCCACCTTTATCCAAGGACTCTTGCTTCTGATGGTATGACTGTAACTTATCCCATATGTTTGTTAAGGGAAAATTTATAAGAGAAAATACTGTAAACTTCATCTTAAGCTCCTTGAAAAAAAGGCTAGATATAAAACTAACAAATAGGATGCTCAAAGTATGGTCTACTCATAGGACGTTGTTTTTATAATTTACATGCTTAATGATTTCTAAATAACATGTCACCCTGCATAGTTTCTTTCCAAAATTCCTTTGAGCTAAAAAGAATAAAAAGCATTAATATGCTATGCAGTATATATTTAAATGAAGAAATAGCAAAAGAGGCATGAATGCTTCAGTAAATGTTAGTAAATGCTTTTTTTTTTTTTTTTTACTTTGCATCCATTTTCATTCGCCCACAGTTGTGTGTGAAACTATATTAAAATACACAAAAGGGCATACTCTGTTCCTAATGACTGATTGGAGAAAACAAAGATGGGTTCCCCACAGTAGATGAACAGAAGCCTTTTCCTGCAAACAATACCTGAAATACGGCATTCTTAATTATCTATATTTTACTAAAACTCTTATTGTCATGACCTTTAACTGGGTGAAATGAAGCCATTGTAGGGCAGCAATTTTGTACCTCAACTTCTGAGAGAATAAAATTGGGTTGCTTCGGGCTACTGGCTGCGGCACTGATGCTGTGGTCATGCGATCTTCATTTTCAATGTCCATGACAGTTTCCCAGCTAGACTTGAAATTCCTCATTCCCTCCCCCACCCAACAGCAACCACTTACCTACCTGCTGAAAAGGGGAGGGAGGGAGGAAAGAAGGAAGGAAAAGAAATGAACTCCTGTGAATCCTTCCCCTCTCACACATGCCCTCTCCAACCCACACCACCATCACCATCCCTGAACTGGAACCTCTCAAGCTCCCCCAGGTAATCTCTCTAACCTATGATCCCCTATATGCCATCCCCAATAGGGATGGGGTGTTGGTTGTCTAATATATATTTGAAAATTATCTTGGAAAGAATTTGGAGAATAGAGATATCACAAGACTCAGCTCAGGCTCATAATAGTTAAACATTCATAAATATGTTCTTTTATAAAGTTATTGTACGGCTTTACCATAAAATGTTTTCCATTTTAATGCTTCTTAAAAATTGCTACTCTGAAAAGTCAGCTATGATTCTTTTATTAAAACAAATAAATACACACACACACACACACACACACACAGAGACACACGGCCACAATTGTTTATCCTTGGCCACAAGAGGA